CCCCCCCCGCTTTTGCTTATACAAAGGTTGCAATAAAATGCATTACAGTAGTATTTCATTTACAAAACAAATGACATTAAAACTTGTTTCTTAACCCATTGGATTGTATTTCAATAAAATAATATCCTTTCATGGAGGTGCAACAGAGATTCCAAGAGCTGTCAGGATGTGGAGAATGATTGCCCTCTCAAAACAGTCCTGCCTGGAAAGGGTGGCTTGAATTTCTGCATGATGCTGTGTTGATACCTCTTTGGAAAGACCTTGTTTGAAGGTTTGGCAATTAGGATTGCATGTTAAACATTGTATTTAGTAAAAATAAATACAAATAAATTAAAAACAAATTATGGATGAAAATTATTTTCTCATTGATATTTCTTGGAGGAAAGCTTAGCCATGAAGCCTGTGGCAATATCTAGAGTATACATGAATGGCAGGTCCATTTTATTTCAGTAGTACTCTCTGAATAAGGAGAAAACAGCTATGAAGATGGCTGTAATTTTGGAGAAAGATAGTAGTGATCTTCTTTCAAACTTCGTTAGGAAGCCATTTTCCTGTGGAAGAAAACATACACAGTTAGGGGCAGCTTAAAAATATCATGTAGGAAAAATGCACCTCCCACTGCTGGTATCAGAGTAATGGAGTGCTGGAGCATTGTGCATAGAGGCACAGGTTTTCAGAGTTCTACTTCCAAAAGATGAATAGGGCTTTAAAAACAGTAGCTGCAAATAGCTGCACCTTGCTGAACGTTTGTTTTATCTGCAAGTCAAGACTGTGCCCTCCTTGTGTAAATAGAAAATGAATGTGAACTGTATCATCTGAGCCTAGATCTTCAAGGAAGATACAAGTACTATGTTTCTGATGTAGTAATATACTTACAAATATCTTCCTTTAAGCCTCCTTATTCTACTATGATGAGACACATATTATGACAGAATGTTGCCAGGAGTTGATACTTCTCTTAAATAAAATTGACTCTATTTGAAAGAGATGGAGAGAGAAGCTTTTACAACAAATCTGATGCATCAAGGGTCCATGACTCACTATCACCCTTTTTTTTTTTAAACTGCTACCAGACAGAGAAAGATCAAAACAAGCAAAAAGAAAAAAGGAAAAGCAAGACACTAGAAAACAAATGAGGGAAAAATGTTATAGCAAATAGGAAGTATAAGAGAAGTGGGACGAGAGAGGGGTGTAAAGAGAAAGTAACATTTAAATATAGGTAAAGGAAAAAAGTACCAGGGAAATAACTGACACTGATATTGATACTCAGCTTCCCCTAACCGAAAAAGAAAAATGTATTGGCGTGATGAAACTCTGCAAAGCAAAAGGGACCTTCCCTCCACTGGCAGAAGGGAATTTCAGCAGCTTGTCAAAATAATCCACGTACTGACAAATGCTTTTCTAAGCATTGACTATTGATTGATGAAAGTTCTAGGATTATCCCAGTCCAAACAGAAAAGATTTAACCCAAATTGCACTTGCCTGTAGAATTCTTTAACTAAAACTGATTCGGGGTATTAAATAATGGCTTTGTTGAAATCCACAGCAGAAGTATTGACTTCAGCTGTGAGGATCACACCTGTGTATTCTTCCCTTAACTTGAGCTTCAGTATTTTTGGACCAGCTCCTCTACGAAAGCAAAATTGCTGCACTAACCTTAGGATGCCACTTAATTTTAGATTTAAATATAGATTTAGATGCATAGTTTAACCTGCTTTGAGCAGGAAGCTGGAACAGTTGATTTCCTAAGGTCCCTCTCAACCTGAATTATCTTATGATCCTATAATTCAAGACTATATGGTTTCGACTGTTACAGGTACAGGAAGAGCATTTTTAAAAATAAACTTGTCTTTTAGCATTGTTCTATCTAAAGCATAAGCAAAGCTTACATTGTAAGTCTCAAGAAGACATTCCAGACATCAAATATTAAACAACTAAATAAAACCCTAAATAAAATGTTTTTGTCAGTGTCTGTAACAATAGTTTCCCTTAATTTAACAAAATCTGCTAATCTAGACTTCGGTGGAAAATGAGAAACTTACCCAGCCACCGTTTGCATCTATCCATTCGGCTTTGTTGTTTATTATGTACTCTGTGATGAAATAAGAAATCTGCTCCTTCTCCTCTCCAGTGAGCTGAACTCCATGCTCTTGAAGCTTCTTAGTGAGAAGACCTCCAAACGTAAATATGGTCATAATTCGTCCCCAGTTAGTATTTCCATCAGCAAATTTTTCTTGCATGACACCATTGAAAATTCTCTTGGCAACAGCTACAGAGGTAATATCAATCCTGTCCAAGAATGGTCTGAGAGCCTCCTCGGTTTGATCTTGCAGCGAAGATGCAATGTTTCGCAAGACGTGAGCAACCCTGGTTTGAGCTGGTCCAAGATGTGACTCCTGAAGCACATATTGCAGATAATCTTGAGCTAAGTAATAAACGTAATAGAACTCAGCAGTTTCCATTTAGAGTGAAATGCAGAGAGCAGTGCAGCGCTCTTAATCGGGGTCAGTAATGAGCAGCCACAAGACATGCACACAGCTTTGTATCATCTGGTTTTGATGGAATTTTTTTGCTTTTACCACAGAAGTTCCTGTAAAAACGTAGTGACTTAATGATTGTGTGGGTTGTGGAATATGTCACAGCGGAAATGAAAGAAAAAGTATCTGCTCAAGGGAGACAACATGTCTTCTCGAGTGATTTATTATTTCTCTAAATAGTATGATTCCACAACTAAAATCTACCAGCTTTTACCACATTCTTTAGCAGCATAAATTGGTATTTCCTAGGGACTTTTGCTATGTAACACAGGCAAAGGTTTGGCATTTGGCTTACAAAATGCTGAGAAAGGTGTATGCTAGCAAAGGTTAGGCGTTTGACTTGAAAAAACATGCCTAAAAAGTGTATGCTATAGGAGTGTGCAGCCCCTCCCTCCAGCCCCATCTTCCCCCCACTCCAATCTCTTCATTGCCAGGGGTTTTGGCTGCAATCTGTATTGCAGGTTAATGGGATATTTCTGGTTCACAACTTTTTGAAGAAGCTGCTAGACATTTTCAACAGGATGGAAGAATGGATAAACTTTCTTCAGCACTCAGGGTGCTTTACATAACTGCAAAAAGTGGGGACACAACAGGGGTACAAGTATGGATAAAAAGAGGGAATGCTAGCTTTATAACATTATCCCATTCTAGACTTTCCCACACTCTCTCTGTGAGTGCTCCTCAAGGTCCTTCTTTGAAGATTTGAATGGGTAGCTTCAAAGATTTCTTTCCCCCACGGGGAGTTCTGCTGTAAAAGACATTATTACTATAAAAGACAATGCTAATGCAGTCAGCATGTCAGAACATGGGATGGAAAATACAGGGCCAAGCCAGTGATGTGTGATACCATCTGAATCTTTCATGATAAGTAACAAAGAAGTGTCATGATACCTACAACAACTGCTCTTAGATTCAAATGTGCAATCAAGCAGTTATTTTTTGGGGAGAAGGGGCAGGGATGTCTAGCCCCTTACAGACCTCTTCTCCCGAGGCAACTTGATCTTGCTAAAGGGTCAGGGTGTGTCTGTAGAGGACCTCACCCCATTGCAAAGGCTTCAGAGCAGCAAGCAATTGGATGTTTGGGGTCCCCTCTTTCTCCATCCCCTGTCTTCATCCCACTACTTCTTACCCACCTCTCATTCACAACTGTTCCTTCTCTGAAAGCAAAAGCCACCCCCAGCCCCACACACCAACAGCTCATCTTTGCTCCAGGAATGTCGGTGAGCCTGTTCCTGGTCCTGAGCACTCCCTGATGCTCAGATCTATGGAAGAAGAGCAAAGCTGCATGCCTGGTGGCCAGCACAGGGCTCGAGTCTCAGATGTCAGGATAGCACTGGCACCTCAGCCTACTGGAACAAAGCATATCTACACCGTGATACAGCTCTGGTGTCCATATATTGCTGACCCTAGCTAGCCCCCCGCAAAGTGTATGCTGCTGCTCTGACATCACAGTTTCGTAGAAACCCATTGAGTAGACCAGGGTAGTTTCCAGTTCCTTCTTCGTTTTTTTCTTCTGCATGTGGTGAGTGTGGCTCAGAATGACACAGTAGTCGTCCATGCACAGCAGAGTTTGAAACCTCAAGCTATCACCAACATAGCACAGACATCAATCACTTCGGTGATTCAGGAAAATATGTCCCCCACTTTCTCTTGGAAGCAAGTAAAGAGGTAGCTTGGTGCTGTGTTCACCTTTGGGAGAGAATGAGTTTAGGAGGGCAGTGTGAGCTGGCAAAACTCATGTTATTAACCCCAGGGAAGGATGTGAGGCGAGGACTGGGAATGGGCTGGAGGTGGGAAGCTAGCTCTCCTCTCCTCCGTACACACTCACATTCTTACCAAAGCTCATTTTGAAAGTTCAGAGGTGTCCTCTATCCAATACCTGCAGCTGCTGCTTTGGCAGAGCTGTTAGGCTCGTTTTGCCTTTGTTATGTTCAGTGATTTCAGCAAACTGCCAAAAAAAAAAAAAAAAAAAAGGATGAAAGGATGTGATAGTCATTAACTCTTCACAGCTCAGCTAAATCTGGGCAGAAATTTCTGGGGCAGAGTAGGGAAGGCATTGCTCTACTCAGACAGCTTCCCTTCTGGCAGATGCTTGCTGCAAACAGGGCTGCGAGAGCTACTTGAGGAACAATCCCCAGAATCCTTTTTCTATATAGCACAGTCTGTGAAGTTATAAATCACTCCTGCCTCTCTTAATAATTGATTAATGAAAAGCTCTTTGTAGTCTTTGTGAATGTAAGTAATAGTTGAATATGAGAATAGTGCACAATACCTAAGGAGACAAGTTTTGTTTTCTTTGCCATCGACAGCAGCAGAGCACAGGCAGAAGCAGATATTTCTTCATTAGTAGAGCGTTTAGGATTCCAAGGAGGGTGATGAAATAAGGCTATGAATATGTCACCGTTACTGAAAAAAATCAATGTTAATACCTTGGCAATTTTGGTGCAAATGCAGCCACTTACAGTCTCTTGATCTCTTACAGGGCTGTAAGGTGAAGCTAAGCGCCCAGCTCCCAGAAGGGGGGGCCAGCTCTGAGCAGACATCTCTAACAGCAAGCTGTGACACTGGTGACCAGAGCTCAGGATGTAGCCGATGAAGCTGCCCCAGGTCTATCGACTGCAATGTTGGACACATTTGCTTTTCAATAGCATGTAGCTGAGGGTGCAATTCCAAGTGTTGGACATTTAGTAGCAATGACAGTTTATATATCTATATACAGAGTCAGACCACAGGGCATAGACCAATCTTCCCAAGCTCTAACGGTCAACTCTGAGCACTGTAAGAAATCAGCTTTGGGATCTGCTGCCTGTATCATGCCACTCCAACACTCTGATTCTCATTTTCTACATTAGGCAGTGTCTTCCTTTCTCCTACCAGACTTTATTCACATGTTGTAGCTGTAATTGAATACCTTTAACTTAAAGAAACTCTACTTTTCTTCCTACCTATCTCCCCAGTGCTGCAAAGACTGCATTCTCATACACTGCGCTGCTTCTTCTTTATTTTCCTCTTTGCTGTATATACTTTGTCTTTATAAATGATAAGTGTTAAAAAAAGGTTTGAAACAGAAACCAGCTTGACATGGAAGCTCAAATGCAAACCCTCCCCTCGCTACCTGGCAAATAGCAGGGGGCCTCGAATACTTTAATTTAAATCTGTGCTCTGTGGATTTCACTCCACATCCTACCTTAACCTGAAAAGGATTATTTTCCAGAACAGATGGGAACTGAGTTGACAGATCCTCATAAAATTGACTTGTGAGAGACGATGTTATCTCATCGTGTTCAAGACAAAACTAAGCCAAAATGACAAAAGCTTCATTGAACTATTCATGCTGCATCTGCCTTGCCAGAGTTGTTCCAGTTCCAGGTGAATGTGGGATCTGAGAGCTTTGTCTGGAGGAACAGTCTGAGGCCTTGAGAAAATTATTGCAGATTTTTTTTCTGGTTTTCTTCCCTTTTTGGTGTCCAAACCAGGGTGATATTTTGTGGTATTGGATTTCATTGCAGAAGAACAGCTCAGTTCACTTGTAGCTTTCCAGCTGTCCTGCATAGCCCTGATATAAGACTTGAGGAGGCTTTGGTGACTTTTATTTACCCTCTATTTTTCTGTAAATTGGAATATGCAAGCTGGCTTTTCTGTGAGCTGGAATGGTTAGTTGGTATTAAATGCAGAGGCTTGGGTTGCCCAGTGGAGTGCTGCCACCTAGTCGCAGCCGGCCTGGCTGCACGCAGAGGAAGGAGCCCGGCACAGGAGAAATCCGTTACCTCCCTGCAGCTCGAATACACGTGCGGGTCTTCTGTGCTTTCAAGTTCTGTATGCAACAAAGAACTAAAATACAATAGGATTGGGACTCAGGCCCGGTAATGATCTGAACTGATAAATGATATTGTGTTTCCTGAAGAACTGCATCAGCCAGGAAGCACCACAGTCTCCTGTCCAAAGCTTGGAAATATCAACTCCATAAGAAGTTTTGGGAGCAGTTCATTCTAAAACACTTCAGCCCTTCTCCTATTTTTTCTAGGATGGAGATAAAATAGCAGGATCCTGGATCTCAAATTCTGTGGCAATTGAAACAGAGACAGAGCCAGCTTATATTCAGTATATCTCAGAGATGCAGAGAAGACAAGCTCCAAGAAAGATAGGAGTATGTAGCTAGTTTTGCATCTTTTGGGCCAACTGAGATATTCTGGGCCAACTGTAGAGCCAAAGGGGTCCCCAACTAAAGCAAGTAGCTACTCCAGCTTACTGTTGAGCTGTGGTGCAGTCCAGAATGACTGAGGGCTGAGCAATATGGCATAAGCTCTCTCCTGCTCCCAAAATACCACACAGCAAAGGCTGGGAGGATGGATCAGATGAAGATGCACACCGTGGCTCTCCATTGCTCAAGCATGAGAAGAATTACCTGAGAGGCCATTCTGCTCCCCTTATGACTCCTCTATAGCACTCCAGTGACATAAGGGGACTATGGGAAGGGCCAGGTTTGGCTTTGCTACTCAGGGTTCAGCTGCTGCCTCGTCACTTCCTCTGGTAACTCATCCCAACTCAGAACTTGGCTTCTGGATCCCAGATTCTCTCATCATCATGAGTCAAAGGAGAGCCAAACACACTGCTCCACTATGCACGTGCCATGTGTCATCATATGCATATGTGCAGACACATGTCCTACATTCTCATAAGCCTTTCCAAATGTTTATCTAGGGTTAGGAGAGTTTGAACAAATACTCATAGTTGTCAGCAGCGAGCCACAGAAACGTAAGGCTCCCTAAGCTTCCCAGACAATGCAGCATGAACAACTAAAGTCTTGGTAGAAGCTTAACAAGGTCTTGCAGATGCCAGCAGAAACATCTGTCTGCTGAAGCCAGCTTGATCACTGAAAATAGTTGCTCCCAGGTGGAAAAAAAAAAAAAAAAAAAAAAAAAAAAAGACTTCTGGGGCGTATTCATGAAATAAGAGGTCAAAAGCTCATGCCTCAATATGATAACCAAAACTTTGTGTCACTCGCA